CAACACACCCGTCCACACAATGATGTACTCGTATTACGCGTTGTCGGCGTTGGGACCGACTGTCCACCGGTTCTTGTGGTGGAAACGGTATATAACTGTCGCACAGATCATACAGTTTGTCCTATTCGTGACGTACGGCATATTCAGTGCTGTTCTGAGTACAGGCTATCCATCGGTTATCTATTGGTTCGCATGGATTCAAAATCCCATCTTTTTATATATGTTTGTAAACTTTTACCGCAAATCCTATGTTAAGTCTAATCGTATTAAAAAAGTTTTATAAATTGTGACAATACCCTACACTACTCTAAAATTATAAAATTATAAAAATTGATTTGATTAAAATTTTTATTTTTAAAATAATTTTAAATACTTTAAATATAACTAGTAAAATCATTAGTGTTTTGTAAAATTAATTATTTTGATTACAAAAAATTAAAACTCATAAATTATATGAAATGTAAAGTATAGTTTAAAATTATTTATATAAATAATTATAATAATATGTAATTATTAATATATAATTAACATCATTGATTATTTAATTAAAAGCAATTTAATTGTATAATACTGCTGTAAACAAAATTACATTAAATATGTAGATTTTATATATCGATATACTTTTTTGATCTTGTCTGATTAAAAAGTATAGTACATATATTATACTTGATAAAATATCAATGATAATTATTTGAATAATTAAAGTTGCAATCAATATATTTAATAGGCAATTGGTATTGCTGTTACTAATATTATTGATCATGAAATATTTATTGTGTAAAATATTGATACAACTGGTAAAATAAGGCTAACATAAAAATATGAAAGCTAATACATTATGTATAACAATTAAACAAATATATTTTTTAAGATTCCTGTTAATAATTCAACTAATGAAACTTGAGGATTTTTTAAAAATTTCATTTTAATTTTAAGCTAGTTAAATGAAAATATAGTTCAAAAGCCGTGGTAGCCATAAAGGCCAAGAGATAAATACCAGTCCTGTAATAATATCCATCAATCGGTAAACACCAGATAATCGGTTATACTTTTGATCGGAATCACCGGTTCTGGCAATTCTTGCCTTAACCACCGCCTCCGTGGGGCGCCTCCTATCATACGCCCATCCAATCCACGCAAACATATCTATGAAAGCCGTCGCTATATTCCAGTTGTCTTTCCACCCGTACTCTGAGGCCGAGTAGTCACCCGTATTATTATAATTTAATGTATAATATATTTTTTAATTTTGAATGAAATGTAAAAATCTTTTTACTTTTTGATACTGTATTAACTTAATTTCAATTTAACTATTTAAATTTTTTATTTTATATTAACTTAATTTGAAATATAGTTATATCACCAATTAATAATTAAATGATAAGTTACAAACAATAAAAATTTAATTTGTTTAATTGTCTAAATTATTGGAAAATTAAAATGTTTTCATGAAATTATCATTTTATTTAATTTTAAAATAAAACTATTAAGTACAGATTGACTCATTAATCGTTAAAGTTAGAATAATAATATTTTGATTTATTTGTTATTACTACATTTATATATAGATAATTTTAAGATAATACAAATAATCTAAAAAACATATGTTTCCAAGTTTGACATCACAATTTACTCAAAACTTTTACTAACGACAAATTCCATTATTTTATAATATTCATGTATTATTCTTATATAAAAAATTAAAATAGTTTTCCCCATTCTAAAAAATATTTTTTCTCCTAATTCATAAATTGAATTAAAGTTAATAACAACTTATCATACTGTTGAATTACTCAAATATAAAAAACTCAAAGAGTTAGGCCTCATCCATAAAGTACGTGCGCACATTTTGGTGAAAAATTGACCCCCTCCCCCTAGCCGTGCGTATTTACTTTGTGGATCACGCCTTATTAATTCTTTGTTTGAAAAGGCGCTTTAATTCTTTCATTTACCGTAAGTATAGCGTCTCTGGCCTTAGGCCACGAATTTGGACCTAGGATAAGACAATTTTAATAATAAATAATACCCACATCATCATATTATTGAAAATGGTCTCACCCGTCAACCTGTACTGATAGGAAACACAGGGACCGAAATACATGTGAAACCATAGCTTCAAGTCAGTGAAGAAATATTTACATAGATTTGGTTTGACGCCCATAAGGCTGGCCAACTCATCCATGTATTTAATGTAATACACGTTCAGCGCACGCCTTTCCCAGTCCGGGTAGTGCTGTTTAAGCCATTTCGTTTGCCGCTTAATATCCCGGATCATCTGCTTTTGTGTCGCCATTTGGCACTTATTAGCCATTATTAGCGCAAAATAGCGGGACTGGAGCTCAGCTGTAGGTAGCACAGCACCCATAGGCACTATAATGCCAATGAATGCCAGGGTATGCGGGTGCTTCAAGTCGGCATAAAATATGTTTTTATATAAATTGAAATCCGATTTCTTGACGGATATCACGGATTCCGACAGAAATGGATACGATATCTGATATCCGGTGGCGAATACGACGGCATCGCATAGGCTTTCATTCGGTTCTCCTATAAATGTAATTTAAAATTTAAAATATTCATACACTAATAATTAGAAGTCAATATTACTATTTCGTATTTTAGATATGAGACACAACATGCTGAAACACACGATGTGTCTGCGAAAGCAAACTGTAAACTGTATTTCACATAATAATGTATAGCAATCAAGTTGGGTTTATTATAAATACTTCAGTTTACAGTTAGCTTTCACATGCAAATCGAGGGTTTCAGAATTAGGCTTTTAATATATGTAAAATTACTATACAGTACCGTACTTATATTGTTTAACTTTTCATAATACAAATTTCTAGCTACTAATAAAAATCAAATTACAATCTGAATGTTGTATGAATCCTTACCCGTAAATATGACCCCATTCTCGGTGAACTCCTGGATGTCCCCTTTGATCGCAACAGACCGGGTCATTATCTTTTTGGGCAATTCGTCGTTCACAAAGACTCGCTGAGAAAAGAACCGGCGCTTCGGTTTGAGTCCATACAGCTTGTGGTCAAATCGCATATTCATATACCCCTCGACCGTAGCATTCGCGAGTCTAAAGGGTGTCACATTAAACATGGTATTCCAGTACCTTGTTAACACAACCGAGTCAAACGGTCTCCCCTTATGGCCCACACGGTAAGTGACCCAACTCCCAGTGCGAGTCGATAGGTACACCTAATATGTATCAGGGAGAACTATGAGATGTCATCTTAAAATACTAATGTATGTTCAGGGTAGGAATTTTACGGAAATTTTACATTTTACACAATATATTAATAAATATCCAACATTTTGGTGTACTTTTAGTTAACATATAATTGTAAATATTTTTAATTTGAATTCAACATCGTTGGGATCAAATTGGACACCTTATATAAATAGGTTTGCCTATTTTTCTATAATATTAGCTAAATATTAAGTAACTGGAAAGTTAACTTACAATTTGCATTAAGCTTTTGTATAATTTTTATTTGAAACCACTAATGCCTGTTATAAATGCTTATTGTTTATAAATTTCTTATTTGACTTTTGAATTAAATAATTAGTAAAACGTTATTAATTACTCACATTTGGACACACATTAGACAACTCGACGGCAGTATCTCCACCGGAACCACCGATGCCTACAACAACCACCCGTTTCCCTGCAAACGCTTTATTATCTTTGAAAGCGTGTGAATGCATGAGAAGTCCCTTAAATATGTGCTGATTCTTGAATGTAGGCATCGATGGCACACTGTTATGCCCGGTGCACACCATTACCCCATCAAATACCTCTTGAAATACGCGGTTGTTATTGATGTCGTGTACCGTTAGCCTCCATTTGCCCGTCTCCTCGTAGTCGCCATTTTGCTCACAATTTAATAATTCGTGTCTAAGCTTGACGTGTGTTTTAAAACCAATTTTCTCGGCATATAATGTCAAATATTCCGCCTTTTTATTAGTCCAATATTTTTGTTTAATAAATAAAATTTTTAAAAATCTGTAAATTATACTTTAAATGCCAGTTTAATGTCTGGTATTATCGAAAAACTGTATAAATTTTATTAACTATCAAACGTATTTAAATAAACGTATCTAACCAAAATAACAATTTAAAATCAAATCTTATTTATTACAGTATTTTTTTTATAAAATATTATGAATTAGATTAAAACTAATAAAATAATGAGTAAATAAATACCATTTTCGTATTATGCATGTAATTAGGGAAATGGTCGGGCACTGGAAAGTTTGAAAAGGAAGTCATCTCTTTGCTCGAGTTGATTATAGTGGTCCTCATGATGGAGGCGCTACCTTCCAGTTCCTCATCCCTATACAGCCAGAGACCGCATATCTGGTCGGTCTTCTCGTACACCACGACATCGAAGCTCTGTTCCCGACAGGCATTAAAAGCACCCATACCTGAGTTGCCGGCGCCGATCACTGCTATTTTTTTGGCAGCCATTCCTACATTAGTTTGAGTTCTCATTCATTGATTCAATAAAAATAAGACAGAAAATAAATTTTCTAAACTTTTGTTTCGCTTTAAGAGTTGAGGTTTACTTTTATATGAACTCAAGTTTTCAAACAATTCATTGCCATTGCGTTTAAAAATATTCTCTCATTACTAAGTTTCCCTTTTTTGGTAGAAGTATATAAACCGGTATTTAAGCTGTGAATCCCAAAAGTCTATAACAAACTGTATATACAGTACAATTAATAATGTTATATTAATATAAAGTTATAATTTGTAATTTATAATCAATTTAATGGGCAATTGCTAATTTCACTGGCATTATAATCAAATAAATGTAAGTAAACATTAGCTATAGAAAAGGTTTTTAATGTAAACTCTTGGTGGGTGACTGTAATAGTTCAATACATAATGTTTAACATTAAAAAACGATTAGTAAAAACATCGATTCATTTGATTATATGAATCATGCGAAAGTTGAGGGTAATACTTATAGTTAGAGCCTGGAATCAGTGGGAAAAAGCGTAGAAAATACACTGTCTTAAAACCGATTTGGGTTCAATATAGCCTGAGTGAACAGACCTATGCACTAATTCTTGTGCTAATCACTGATAAGAGAGAGATTAAGTTAGATGTGTTATATTAAACCCAAGTCATCTGAAAACAGTGTCTCTCTTCCACTCATTCCGGCCTCTACAGTAAGTTTTGTATATTACTAATACTAGTAAATTTAATTGAAGTTTTATTTTATTATGAAATAAACATATGGACTATAAGTTGTTAAAGTGTTCCTAGTGATATACATTTCAAACTGTAATTTTGCATTAGCACACATTAACAAATAAAGTTTGACAAAATTACAGTTTGAAATGTGTATTTCTAAGAATTATTCTGCCCGGGCCCATCCATATGTGGACTTATTATACAAAATAGCGACAATTATTACAATAAGTAACATACAGTAAGTTTAAGATTTTTATAGAACGTGTTGTATTGGTTTACTATGAGGCAATTTTCCAATAAGAATTAATCTTGTATTACTAATATAAATCACTGTCCCTGTTTTGTTTAATAAAAGGACATAAAATTTCTATTATGTGTACAATATTTGATATTATTAATTATATTTTCTAAGAACAAAGGCTATGGCCAACACAACATTTTCATCAACATCAAAACTCATAATAATATATTGTATTTTAATAACTAATTGTATTAAATTTTATTGAATTTTTTAATTAAAATAAAATTAAAGTTACACATTTACCAAGTCACATTCTTAAATAGTTTTTGTTTCGCCAATTGAAATGGTTATGAATTGGGTTTCATTCAAATTACGCTCTTTTAACGCAGTCTTCAGTTTCATCGGTGGCTCCAAATAGTACTGAAGATTCAAATAAACATTTCATTAGTTCTCTAATGAGATACATTAATATCAAAGTCCTAATCCTGGTCACACTAGTAGTGATAATACTTTAAACATTTCAACATTAATCTCAATACTGACTAATGCTATATTTTGTCACTTTGTTACTACCAATGTGAGTCTGATTAATACCTTGATAAACATGGGATTTGTCATAAACAAAATTGTGGTCATACCTCATGTGCCAATGCGAACGTTCCCCAATGCACTCCTACACTCAATTTACTTCCAATATCTTCGTGTATTTGGACGGCCTGTTCGGGGTCAACGTGTTCCGACTCAATCAGCCACCGGGGCTCATATGCACCGATAGGTATAGCCGCCAAATCAAAGGGTCCATACATTTCCCCGATTTGCTTAAACACCGGACAATAGGCGGTGTCGCCGGCGAAGAAAAATCGATGTTTTGGTCCGACGACAGCCCAACTGCCCCACAGAACCCGGCGCTCATCTGTCAGACCCCTACCCGTCCAGTGTTGGGCCGGAGTCATCACGAACTGGACGTCCGGTTTGGACGGTATGCAAGCACTTTGCCACCACTCGAGCTCTACCACATTGCGAGTGACGCCCACCGCCCCCCTCATCCACCCTTTCAGACCTGACGGCACAAACCAGTGTAGGTGTGACCCGAACCGGGCGTTCAGCGCCCGGATACTGCCTAAGTCGAGGTGATCGTAGTGGTCGTGACTGACGACCACCGCATCGATTTGTGGCAACTCGTCGACAGTGGCGGCCGGCCTCCTATACCGGGCCGGACCTACCCATTGACTCATCGACGCCCGCCTACTAAACATGGGATCCGTTAATATAGTGATGCCATCGAAGTGGACGACAGCAGTCGAGTGACCGATCCATGTCATGGATATACGGTTCGCATCGTAGCTAAAGTCGGGTTTCAGTATCGGAAGGGTTTGGTTGAGAACCTAATTGTAAAATATTTGAAATTTTAGAATTTTATTTTAGAAATTATGCCTTGCTCAAAATAAACTAAACTAATTATAATTGTAATATACTGTATAATAATTTCAATGATTACTTTAATAATTGTCACTGTTAAATAAATACTTATTTTTAAAATTCAGAATTTAAGCCTAATATAAAATTTATGTAACGATATATAAATAAATAAATAAATAAATAATTTTATAAATTGAAGTAAATATTAATATACGATTTATCAGAAATAAATAGTGGGGCTAATTAAGGTAAATGTGACTGACCACTTTCTTGGGAATATTACTGTGATTGGTTTCCATAAGGAATTTGACGGCTTTCCGCATGGAGTACATTCTCCAGGTGCCCCACGGGTTCGTGAATCTGCCGTTAACTTTGACAGACTTCGGTAATTCATTGTTCGTGTCGACCGTTTCCATACTTGATGGCCACAAATGAGCGGATTTTTTGATAACTCTAATAATCGTCCCAACTAAACACTACACTCATTAGTATTTCTATATATCTATATATTTCTAAATATACGACTCGTATTTCTTAACAATTTAATATAAAATTATTTTATTTTATGAAAAAATTAAATCAAAAAACGTGTCCCATGTTAAGGTTATAGGAAAACATTTTATTATGTCATTAATTCAATGTCATTATGCCTATGGGGTTGCAGGCTTAATATTGCCATCAACTACAAATTAAATTTTATTTTATAAAATCTTTACTCATTAAGGTATAAAAATTAAAATATAACTAAAAATTAGGTTCAATCGCAAAAAAAACCTAAAACCGAAAGGAATAAACTTAATTAACTAAATGGCCAGCCTACATATTTTTATTTGATTCGTGGAATAGAGGAATCACAACCTAACCTAAATTAAATTAAATTAAACCTGATGAACATTTGTAAGTTTGTTATTCAAGTTTAGGCCTTTTGGGGTTAGGTTTTAGGCTTAAGGCCTTTTGGGTTTTAGATGTTTTGGGTGAGTGAAAAATTATAATCAATTCATGATAATTAACCAAAAAATTTTAAGTTAAGAATATATATTTAAATATTTAATTAAACTTACGGTATTTGCACTCTAATCCAGCAATCAATTTGTGAGAATTATTTAGAATATCTATTTAAAACATTTAATTTCAATTGATTTTCAATGAATTGAGTGTTACTTACTTAATTGCAAATGTCATACCTCGAGGTAAGTAATACATGAGCAATTTTGAATTGGTAAAACCCCATTATTAGCATTGAATTAATAAAACTTATGTCCGATTGTATAGTGTTTGGAGTGGAGGTCTATGGGTGCGATGGAAAGGCAGGTATGGCTGTCATCGCATCGCAAGACATTGAGATAAATCTCGTGCAATTGTCCGACAACTTACGTATACAACTGCCCGCTTATGCAATGCCGGTGTTTGTGAGAATCACCGACAATATAGAGGCCACCGGTTCCTATAAATTAGTTAAAACCTCATTTATCAAAACTGCTTACTGTCCCGACGTCACCACTGATTGTATTTATTTTGACGACAACTCCTACACCAGGTCTTACATCCCTCTGGAGTCTAAACTCTACGAAGACATTATAAACGGGAAGATCAGGATTTGAATGAAAATAGTTTTGTTATTTACTTTCAATTGTATTATATTGTAATTTTATTTTAATTAAAATTTTATTACATTTATTGTTTTTCAAAATACCTTGAGGTATTAAAACTTGAGAGTATCTAAAAGTGGAAATTCCTGTCTCTCCCTAAAAATGAATTTTTTTGAAATTATTTGTTAAAAAATCTTTTAATATTAGTTTTGAAATCATTTTTGATCTCTAATTAGAGATTTCAAATAATTGGGTAATTTTAAAAATAACATTTTATTATATTGATTATTCGTGTGTGAAATTTAGAAAAATAAATATTCCAAAGGAAAATTATGCTAACTTATGAAAATGTTCTCATAACTTAAAATATAAACATTTTACAAACTATTATAAATGTTGGAGATATTTGTGTTTGGACTGTTTCAAATAAAATTAAAATTAAAATCTCTCTTAATACTGGCTATTAATGAATCAATTAAGTTGTGCATTTAAGGACCAAATTATGAAATAATGAAATAAGTGGTTGTCCTCGTGTTTATGAATCTGTGGAAAAGCTAAATTATATTTATTGCTAAAACAATTGCCATTACTTTTGTAAGTTTTGTGAATTTTATAACTTATAATGTAAGATTTGTTTTCTGAAGAATACAATTATCTGTTTCTGTATAAATAATAAATACAAAAATTTTTTTAAAAATAATTATATAAAAGTATTAATTTTTAATATTGAATTTATAGTAATTATTGGTGTAGGAAAAATATAAATACGAATAGTAGTAATCTCTACATGATAAACATCATGAATTATCGATTAAATTTAATTGAATATAAGGAATAACAATATTTGTCAACTAGTTGATTAGCATAATTCAAACTAATAATAAAATAAATATTTCATAATTATATATAATATAGCAGTATGATTTATTTTTATAACTTATATTGTAGAATTAGTTATTAAAAAATATTCGTCTAATTCTTAGAATATCGATTTTCTCTATAAAAGTCTATTTAATAAATAGTTTGATCATCACGATTTTAAAATTAATTTAAAT